GTTTAGTAAAATCAAATTATTGTATACAGATACGGATAGTTTAATATATCATATATTTACAAATGATTTTTACACTGATATAAAACCTGACCTTTCATCATACTTTGATACCTCAGATTATGATACAAATAATATTTTTGAATATCCAAAATTAAATAAAAAGAAATTAGGTTTTTTTAAAGATGAAAATAATGGTAAAATCATGAAAGAATTTGTGGGTTTACGATCCAAAATGTACGCTTTTAACTTAGAGAATAAGACTATAGCCAAGGCAAAAGGGGTAAATAAATGTATCACTAAAAAGATGACAATGAATAGTTATAAGTCTTCTCTATTTAATAAAAAAGTGCAATATTATAGTATGCTTAGATTTAAATCAATTAAACACACAATTTTCACACAAAAATTAAATAAGATAGGTTTATCATATAATGACACAAAGAGACATATTTTAGATAATAATATTGAAACATTAGCTTGGGGTCATTATAAACTGCGTTAAGTGTTGATAGTTTTTACTTTTATGTCTGCGTTTAAGAAAAATTTATATTGATTGTAAAATTATGATAATACTATAATATGACGTAGTTTATTACATATTTAAACATTGTTTTATTGTAAATAATTTAAGTTAATTGTTGTTTCTATTTATTTGAGGTTGAGTTAATTGTAAAATTATGATGTACTAATTGTTGTTTCTATTTATTTGAGGTTGAGTTAATTGTAAAATTATGATGTACTAATTGTTGTTTCTATTTATTTGAGGTTGAGTTAATTGTAAAATTATGATGTACTAATTGTGTTAGAAATAGTATACAGATAATTCTGTTTTATATAATTTTTGGAATATATATTAATTGTTTACACCAACACTTTCATTTTTTATTTCACCCCTTTGAACTTTAGACGTGTGTTATGTTTCACTTTATCCATCCGTTCACTGCTATTGTGGCAGGACCAAGTGGGTGTGGGAAGTCAAATTTTGTAACAAATTTCATAAAATCACTTACAGAAATATGTAATTGTGATTTTAATCAGATCACGTGGTGCTTTGTTGAAATGCAACCATTATATAATTTACCAAATGTTAACTATCATCAAGGAATTCCAAATCTTAATATGTTTGATGGTGAAAACCCACATCTTGTTATTATTGATGATCTAATGAGAGAGTCCCATGGAAGAATTGTGGATATATTTACAAAAGGTAGTCATCACAGGAATCTTAGTGTATTTTATCTAACACAAAATTTATTTCATCAGGGTAAAGGACAAAGAGACATATCTTTAAACTCAAGTTATATAATATATTTTAAAAACCCTCGAGATAAAACTCAAATAAGATATTTAGCAAGACAAGTATCACCAGATAACCCAAAATTCATTGAAAATGCCTACAGGGATGCAACTCTAGAGGCGCATGGATATTTAATGGTAGATTTAAAACAGAATACCAATGATTTTGATCGTATCAAGACAAATGTCTTTCCATTTAATGGTTTCTGTACAGTCTACGTCCCCACAAAAGAGTTTAAATACACCAAGAATCAAACAATTGAAATAATTGCTAAATGATGCATCGTCGACTCACAACGTATAAACATTTGCTAACCGCTTTGCATACGCTTAAACCAAAATATCAAAGAGCATTACTTAAAACGTGTGATGAAGAAGAAATTAACTGTATTTGTGAGTGTATTCATAACGTTTTACAAGGAAAAGTACCTCTTAAAGATCAGGATAAACAAAAATTGAATAAACATAAAAACATACTCCGTAAACTAGTACGTAAGTGTAAACATAAACTAAGAAAAAATATAATTATACAAAAAGGAGGGGCTTTCTTACCAACAATATTAGGTGCAATATTGAGTGGATTAGTGAGTGGACTAGCCAGTTAACATGGAAAATGCAAAGAAAATGATACTTATCGAACCTGGATTGATTGAAAAATTAAAACAAGAAAATAAGGTTAATAGTAATTTATCTCGATTAGATATTGAAATGCAAAATATTATGAATAGTAAGACGGAAGACCGAAAGAAATGGATATTATATTTACAAACACTGCAAAGATACCTTCATTTTACCGAAGAGGATCGTCAACCACTCAAATTACCAATTTATTCTGATACATCTAATGAAGATTCAAATGAGTCAAAAATTGGTTTTAAAAATAAAGATAGAGATCTAAAAACTTCAGTTGGTATTGAATCTTTGCTGGAGGAGAATCGATCCATTAAAAGTAAAGAAAATGATGAAAATCCACTTTACACACCAGCTCAAATACTCAGTTTAATACCAAAAACTTATCATAAAAAAGGGCAGTTATTATTAAACTTAGTTGAAACAAGTAAAAGTAAAATACATTGGGATAACGAAGGTACAGTCATAATTGATAGTGAAAAAATTCCTGGAAGTAATATTGTTGATTTAATAAATGATTCACTAAGACCCCTAAAAAGAAGTGATCCGGTAGGGTGGGTTAGATTTGCTGAAGCATTAAAAGATATTAAAGTACCACTTACTTATATTGGAAATCCAAGGAGATGTGAGTTTATTAACCAACTTCAAGCAAAAGATCTGAACAAACCCTCTGAGATTGAAGTTCAAGAGTTTTCTACACCGTGCAGTAGAGATAAAAAGTCTACAACTAAAATACGTAAAGGACTTGAGTGGGAAAAATGGACTCCGTACTAGAAGAAATTAACAGGATTTATTATGATCCATCTAATCCCGCTGGTTTTGGTAGTATTGATAAATTATCAAAAGCCATGAGGGGTAAAATGAATAAAAAGCAAGTAAAGGAATGGTTAAAATCACAAGAAACATACACATTACATAAACCCATTCGAAAAAAATTCCCGCGTAATAGGTACATTCTATCAAATATTAATGAACTGTGGCAAGCTGATTTAAGTGATATGCGAACTTATTCTCAATATAATGATGGTTTCAAGTATATACTTTGTATTATTGATGTATTTAGTAAATATGCTTTTGCAAGACCAATGAAAAAGAAAAACTCAGAAACAACTAAAGAATGTTTTGAAAGTATATTTACTGAAAGTAATTTAACACCTACTCACATACAATCCGATAAAGGTACAGAATTTGTTTCAAAAGATGTACAAAAATACTTTAAATCCAAAAAGATTAATTACTATACCACTAACAATCCTGACATTAAGGCCAGTATTGTTGAACGATTTCAAAGAACATTAAAAATGAAAATGTGGCGTTATTTCACTCATAATAATACTTATAGATATATAGATGTTTTGCAAGATTTAATATACTCTTATAATCACAGCTTTCACTCTAGTATTAAGATGTGCCCATGTGATGTAAATTCCAACAATCTTATGACAGTTTGGACTAATCTTTATGATAGACGATCAAAAAAACTTTCTTTAGAAAATCCTAAACCAAATTTCAATGTGGGTGATTATGTTCGAATAGCTAAATATAAACATGTATTCCAAAAAGGATATGAATCAAATTGGAGTGATGAAATATTTATTATATCTTCAATAATTGATAGATCTCCATGGGTTGTTTATACAATAACAGATTTACAAAATGAACCAATAATTGGTACTTTTTATGAAAGAGAATTACAGAAAATCACTTACAACCCCACCTCACAACATAAAATAGATAAAATAATTGACACTCGTTATTCAAGTAACAGAAAAGAAGTATTAGTGAAGTGGAAAGGTTATCCAGATAAATTTAACAGTTGGATTTTAGCTTCTAGTTTAAAAGAAATATGAATAAAGAAAGTTTCTATTTAACTTTGCTCAGCAATAGTTCAATGGAATACTTTCCTGATAACAAGACCACAAATTTTTCAACGAAATTACCAAAAGCTATAAAATTAGAAGGTGAATGGTCGGTTGGAGTTGTCGAGTTTCAATATCCATGTACCATGTTTACTGTTCAAGACCATGAAAATGTTATATACATTACAAAATCTATGTTAATGCCTAATGAAGATAAGCCATCCACAGTGTACTACAAAAAACATATTCCAGCTACCAACTATGATAACGTTGAGCATATTTTAAGAGTGTTAAATGGTATCGGAGAGAACTTGAAATTTCGCTATGATGAAATAACAAAATTTGTGTCTATTTCGGTATTGGATAAAAATATAACATCCGTAACATTATCACCCAAATTAAGTTTACAGCTAGGTTATGAACCAAATAAAAATCTCCTAGAGAGAAATTTTGGAAAGTGTCCTGCTAATTTACACTTAGGGTTACCATCTCAACTATTTCTATATTGCGACATTATCGATCCTCAGATTGTGGGTGATGTTATGACTCCTTTATTAAGAGTCATTTCATTAGATCCTACAAAATACATTTATGGTGCAAATAAAATGCACGTTTTCTCTCAACCTCACTACTTACCTGTTATGCGAAGAGAGTTCGATACGTTGGAAATAGTTATAAGATCGAGTACAGGACAAAAAATACCATTCCAGTTTGGAACCGTGTGTATTAAACTACATTTCCGAAAATTATAATAATGAATTCTCTTCGTGATCATCATAAATGTCCATATGAAAATTATTATACACATCAAGCTGGATCAGGAAATGGAGTAATTTATAAGGGTTCACCATATCAACGCGGTCATGGTATTGGGAGCTTCTTAGGGGGGTTATTCCGATCAGTTTTACCTTTACTTTCAAGTGGTGCTCGAATAATTGGTAAGGAGGCATTAAGCGCTGGAGTAGGACTTTTATCGGATATGGTTCAAGCCCGTCCTATGGAAGCCTCAATAAAAGATCGTCTAAAGCAAGTTAGTACGAATTTAAAACGAAAGGCTGATGAGAAAATTGATCAATTTAACATGACTGGATCTGGGTATAAAACTAAAAGAAAACGATTGACATCGTTCATTCCACCATTAACTGCTAAAGTGAAAGCTGCGAAAAAACTTAGTCTAAAACCAAAAAATATCAAAGATATATTTTCAAACTAAATATGTCTTTCCTTCATAATCATTCTTGCGAGTGCGTTAAGTCAGAATTGGATTTGTTTGCACTACCGTCTACACAAACTAGCATTGAAAATGGATTGTGGATTCATTATAAACCAATTTCATCTCTTGGTGATGATGGACCTATCGAGTTTCAAGTTCCTGGGACCGGCGATGACTACATAGATTTGTCTCATACATTACTCCACATAAAGGCAAAAGTATTAAATCAAGATTCAACTAACTTGGTATCTACTACAATAGTAGCACCTGTAAATAATTGGCTGCATTCACTTTTTAGTCAACTTGATGTTTATTTAAACCAAAAACTTGTATCACCACCTAATAATACCTATGCATATCGAGCATACATGGAAACCCTTTTAAACTATGCCCCTGCTGCTAAACAATCTCATCTTACTTGTAGCCTTTGGTATGAGGATACAGCAGGAAAAATGGATTCTACAGATGGTGAAAACATAGGATTTGTTAAAAGACAGGAATTGATTAGTGAAAGTAAGGAAATAGAAATGATTGGTCATCTTCACGGTGACATTTTTAACCAAGATAAATTTTTAATTAATGGTGTTGAAATGAGTGTTAAATTGGTTCGATCAAGAGAGAGTTTTAATTTAATTGTTGGGTCGAACGATGTAAAGTTTAAAGTTTGCATTACGGACGCAACTCTTATTGTGCGACGAGCACGAATTAATCCAAGTGTATTACTCGCACATCAAAAAGTTTTAGCTTCTACCACTGCTAAATATCCTATTACTCGAGCTGAAGTAAAAGTTTTAACAATTCCTTCAGGTGTTCAAGGAAAAACTCTTGATAATATATTTTTAGGACAGGTACCGAAAAGATGTATAATTGGATTTGTGAACAATTCTGCATTTAATGGTTCCCTTACTAAAAATCCATTTAACTTTGAAAACTATGGTATTAATTCTTTCAGCTTATATATTGATGGTCAACAAATACCTTCAAAAGCTTTGCAACCATCTTTTAATAATAGCATATTTACATCAGCATATCATACTCTATTCTCGGGAACTGGTATTCACTTTCTTAATGAAGGAAATGGAATCTCTTGTGAACAGTATGGCAAAGGTTACTGTCTATTAGCATTTGACTTAACTCCTGATTTATCAGCTAACTCATCAACTCATTGGAATCTCATAAAGCATGGTAGTGTAAGAATAGAAGTACGATTTGAATCCTCATTAATACAAACAATTAACTGTATAGTTTATGCTGACTTTGATAATATTATTGAGATAGATAAAAACAGAAATGTTACTGTAGACTATAGTAGTTAAGGTTATAATATGTGTTGTGTGTTAGATTTTATGTGTTATGTGTAATGCATTTTGTGTGTATGTAACTATGTGAAACGTTATAAAATTAAATAAAACAAATTGTATGCAATATATTTTTTTTATTTCTTTATAAATCTTCTATTTAATCTAATACAAAACACTGTTCGAGTTGAAATTTTACATAAGCACACTGACTAAACCACTGAACATGCTGCTGCCAAGGATCATCATCATCTTCCCAATCTTTTAAACCACCACCACAATGGAAACACTTGGTCCCGTCTGCATGGCCAGTATAAAAGAAACCAGCTTCGGCAAGATCTTCAGGTTTCTGTCGCATAACTAGAGGCCAGTTTTCGAAACTAAGCAAACGGCTAGATTTTGAACTGAAGAATGGATATTCAGCTCTTGAGTACTGCATACTCTTCTCGTTTTCTTCTCCACTCAGTGTTGTAGTTTTGTTATTCAATGATGTGTTTTGTACACGTATGCCACACTCATCTCTTCCTTCCGCTCTTGTCTTCCTGTAATTGAAGTAAACAGAATCACATTCACTAATGATCAGCTAATGACTGTCATTGTTAAAAAAGTATTTTTTAACTTTTTCACTTTCTGCTATTGTCTTTGTTATATTGTATACGAGGGCGTTTGTATTGTCGTAGATGCTATCCTTATTAGTCTTTACGTAATATTTAATTCTCGTGGAAGCATGTTTCCAATGATCAGTAGTTGGAATCTTGGATAGCTTCTTCATATCGTACATTTCAATTTTGATGAGATGCGTCGCTTGGTCTCCGTCGTCAGAATTAGTAGAAATGTATGATACACCATCTCTAGCGGCTCGTGCTACGGTTGATGATAACAGCTTCCTCTTTTTTATTTTTGATTCAGCTTCAAAAAAATGATCAATCGATTGCGATTTTCTTTTTCCACCATCGCATGTGTTATTATTAATGACGAGGTTATCACTCTCTTCTTGAGGGGAGAGTGGCGAGTAGTAATACTGTTTATAGGTATCTTCATCGAAGCTCAATGATTTCTGCAACAACACAGTTATCATGTTAATATCAATTTGTTAACACTTAATCATAAAAGTTAAAAAAGTTAAAGTTACAGCCTATTAAAGTCCACTGCTGAACATAGGCCTCCTCTCATTTCTGAGAGGGTTTTAGAGCAAGGAAATGTCCGCCGCGCTCCCTCAATGTGTGTTGGTGAACTTCACATGCCTTCGAAATTTTCTCAGACATGCAGGTTTCCTCACGATGTTTTCCTTCACCACCAAGCACGTGGTAATAAGCACTTAAAATTGCTATTAACAATTTAATTGGTGCTGGCGGGGATCGAACCCGGGTCGCGTACTGTGAAATTTACAGCTAGCGCTAACCATCTGAGTTACCACGGCTTAATCATATACATACACAATATTTAAATAAAATAATACACACACATGAAAATAACAGAAAAAAAGTAATTTAGTCAATAGAATAAACACTTACATCCATAGCCTTTGGTGTATTGAAGTAACACAAATGTACTATTGATAGATCCACTGTAGCCAAACGACCGTACACTAACTCGATGACTGCGTTTGTTGGTCTTATATACCACCAGTACGTAAAAATTCTAATCTAAAGTATTTCCGTAATGAGTTGATAATTACTTTATGCGTCAACCAGTTTATCTCACATTTCCGTTGCCTATCTCAACATTTCTTCGTATTGTGTTTTGTTTGGTGATCAATGACTCAAGTACGATTTGTATAACACAAAAATGCAATTTAATATTTAGAAACATATCAGTTTATCTCACATTTCCGTTGCCTATCTCAACATTTCTTCGTATTGTGTTTTGTTTGGTGATCAATGACTCAAGTACGATTTGTATATCACAAAAATGCAATTTAATATGTAGAAATCACTATAATTGACCATTCCTATGTTATTCATTGAGTAGCTAGGTACTGTAATAATCTACTAATAGCAGTAATATCATGGATACACTAGATGTACAACAACATCTGAAAAAGATTCACCCCAGTCTAGAAAATAATGTTTATGCAGCTAATAGACTGCCTATGTATACCCACGTACCAACGTATATAATATGTAATTTGGATACAGATGATAAACCAGGGTCACATTGGGTAGCTTTATATATCGATACGAATGACGTCGGTCAATATTTTGATTCATATGGACGATCACCTGTACGATATCATCTAGAGTTTTTAAAAAGGAATTGTAAAAGATGGAACTGGAATGTTGATAGGATTCAGAATGAGTGGACTTCAGTTTGTGGCGAATATTGCTTAATGTATTTACTATATAAGTTTCAAGGATGTTCAATACATAGTTTTACGAGTATATTTACAAGGAACACATTGTACAACGATATTTTAGTGGATGAGATGTTTCGCTCCTATTTTATAGATAATAATTAATAAGATTTTGTATTTTATAAATAAAAATTGTAACAAAATTATGTAATGTGTTTTATTGATGGTTCAGATTAGCGTTGTATAAACAAAGAATTATAATAAACAATAGCACTGATATAGTCGACGCACACGCTGCAATGAGGGTGATTAATGAACAATAGAACAATAGAAATAGGAACAATGGGACGCTAATGATGGTGGAGGCCCTTACCGGATATCAATTAGATATTAGCTAATTGATCTACACATCTCCGGAACCGTGCATTCTACACAAAAATGGACCGCGGATTCGTGATCAGAGCATGCCAAAACCTTTTTTTTTTTTTTTTTTTATTTTTTATTTTTTTTTTTTAGGATCGGGCGTCGACGAACGTCGTTGAACTACGTCTGACTCAGGTGGTCTAGAAGTGGTACAACTACACTACTGACAAAATCCTATGACAAATTTATTACTTGTAATGTTCAACTCGTTTAATTTTTATTTGTAGTGGCGCTGTCATCGCGCAGCAAGGGTCCTATCAAAGTTGTGAAGTATATATAAAATAGCTCTGTACCGTCACACGGAGCGTTGGCCATTCACCATCTTGACCGGCGGGAGATCTCCTAATAATTTTCATGATAAATTGTGTGTGCAAAATATACATATAAATGTACATCGTGAGGAAACTTCCATGTCAGAGAAAATGTTTCGATGAAATGCGTTGGTCTAATTTTTCCATAACCCTCCCAGAAATGAGACATATTTGCCCAGCTGAGAGAAGTATATAGGCCATAACTGACAATGAGTAATGAAACTAGTATTTCGTACAACTACATTGGACAGCAAAATAATTAGCATTTGTATGGTGTCGTATCATCCATATTAATCAATTAATATATGACCATTTATCGAAAAGAAGATAATTTCTGCGAGGATGTTCTATCATTTTTTTATAAAAAAGGGTGACAATCGAGCACATAGTTCACCTGACGAAAAGCGGAACATGGTGGTAGTAGCCCGCCATAGACAATGCAGATGCTTTGTCACGCCTGGGGACGAAGATCGAATACTTCGTATCCAGTAAATAAGGTCTCAAGTTCTCTACACATACTATACGAAACAAAGCAGCATTAAGATGCTATTTTATGCTAGTATTCCGTGAGAGCGCGGTCCTTCTATGGTCGAGTCGAACCATTCATGCCACAAACATAATATAGAGGCAGCATGGCTCCATTACGTAGAAACTATTTTTTTTTTACAGGATAGGGTGACAAACGGGCACACAGTCCACCTGATGGTAAGTGGTTGCTGTGGCCCATAGACATTTACATTTATCCTCGTTTGCAAGAAGAAAGAAGCAAAATGCAGATGCGTTGTCACCCGTGAGGACTAAGATGGAATGCCTCTTTTCCAGTAAATAGGGTCTCCGGTTCTCTACACTCACCATACGAAACACAGCAGTGTTAAGCTGCTATTTGACACCGGTATTCTGTGAGAGCGTGGTCCTTCCCCGGTCGAGCCGACCCATTCGTGCTACAACTATATAATATAGCTGCAGCATTGCTCTACCACGAACAATCAAACTCAAACCACGTACAACGTAATAAGGGGTATATAACAGAATTACGAATATTTACGTAAAAATGGGGCAAAACGATGAAAGAAAGACCTTTATCGCTTAGATCAATACACGCAACGGTATTGTGATAAGGTTACGTAAAATTAATGTGCTCGAAGAAATAAAAGAACCAGTGACAACAGTTCAATTTCTTTTTTTGGCTTATGTAATAACTAATACAGGAAATAAGGAACCCACTACCTTGTTGGTTTAGTGGTCGTAAGCGTGACCACTGATTTTGAAGTCCTGGGTTCAAATCCCGGGTCGGATCAAAAATTGAATTTGTCTTCTTATTTTGAGCCAATGGTTTGTCGCGTGTGCTTCGAATAGTACGTTAAGGCGTTTTTCCTGCATCTGCCTCTCCGGTTGAGTCGGACTTTCGTCCTATCGGATTATACTCGTAAGAGTGAGCTAATATAGAGAGTGCATTTGTGTTTGTGTGCAAACTATCGCACTATAATTGTGTCCTGTGGCGACAGTTAGTCACGGTTGAGAATGGCCGCCATGACCGAAATTAGTTCTAGAGGATATCAATACAGGAAATAATAATCCGATTATATTACGTGAAATATTTTTTTAAGCCAACTTCAAAAGAGATCCGTCATCGCCTTCGCAATTTAAATGATTTTTTCGAATATTTGTTTTTTACAGACTTAAATTATTCTTTATCTTTTGATAGGCTAACATAATATTTCAAACATAGATAGTCACAAAACACCTTGACTCTTAAACCAGAATACGGGATGCCTTAGCAAAACTTTTCTTTCATCTGTCAATTATGTCGCCAGTGAAATATTTCATATGAACCATAGTATCCAAAGAATGCCCACAGTGTAAGATAATTTTTAAAACTTAATTCTTTTTATTAACTTTAAAAAATTTATATGGACATGTGACTATCATATTAAAACAAGGGCTTCTTACTATCATTTAAATATGCCTTCTCAATGTACTGCCGCTCTCCG